CCGCGCCGCGCTCAGACGAGTAAGTTTAAATGCAAAAACAAGCCAGAACAGCCGTGGGGAAGCAGAGAGCCCAGTCTGAACCAGCCTGGAGCAATGTTTCACCATCTCCCTGGTCATCTACCAGACAGACATCCCCTCACGAGCTCATCAGCCCACCCAGCCACAGCTCAGGGGTGCGGGACCGATGCGCTCCGGCTGCGGGATGGAGGGACCGGCCTGCTTTCCAGGCACCGGGGGCAGGACCCAGGGGCCACACTGAGACTTCAGGGATGTTGAGCTGTTTCCTGGGGAGGGCAGTCTAGTATCTCTTGGCAGAATCCCACACTTCGGGGTGCCACAAAACCAAAAGGCAACCTGCTGGTGAGTTCTGCCTGCTGGAGCTTCCTCGTCATCATTTCAGATTTAAACTTCAATGGTTTCCAATCCTACTTATCCTGATCATAACAGTCATTCCACCTCTGCAATTCTGGCTGTTCAGAGAAAGGGTGCACCCAGTTCCATGCAGCCTGTGACCAGAGCCGTGTGGCTCCACCGCCCCAGAAGGAGCCAGGGCGCGGGGCAGCGGCGCCAAGTGATGCCCCAGCAGCAAGGGAACACCCCGTGGGAGAAGCCAGACCCAAGCAGTGTGTGCAGCAGGCTGGGCTAAGAACCCAAAGACACGCAGTCCAACACTCTGTACTGCGGGTGCAGAATGGGAGCACAGCCAGATTTCAAAGGGCCTTCCCTCAAATTAATTCCCCTCGTGTCTCTAGTTTTATTACTGTGTTTTCCACAGAGGGATTCTGGTTTAAGCACTTTAGAAACAACTATCTGTCAATTCGACCCAAAAAAGTTTAGTACCAACTGTTACACACTCCGACTTCAGCGGAAAGAATTGTGGTTGGATGGACCATTTCAAGAATAGTCTCATTAAAACAAGCAGAATGCATTTGTCCTGCTGGAGGCAGCAGCATCACTCCAGAAGGAATTTGCCCAGAATCTCTGCCTCCCTGCCCAGAGAGCACACACGTGTCCGGACACCAGCTCAGGCAGCGCTCGGCATGAATTCACACAGCTGCACGGGCACTTGGGTCCTGGTCAGGTGTTTGGTCACTCTCAGGCTCACAGGAGTCCTGCAACCCCCACTCGTTTGTGTCTGGCTTCTGCATCCCTTCTCAGCCACGGGCAAAGCAGGAGGGACGCGGAGCTGGGGAGAGGCTCCGGCGGCTGCACTCGCAGGCAGCAAAGCGCGGGAGGCAGGAGCAGCACCAGGCACGTGCAGGGGAAGGGGCGAAGGGGGGAAAGGCAGCACTGCCAGCACAGAAGGTCTGAGCCAAACGGGGTCTGTCCTAGAGGGCAGAAGCAGCTGCGGCAGAGGAGGCACATACACGGGGACAGAGGTGACTGCAGGATACAGAAGTCTGCACACACAATATACAAAGGGAGTGAGGGGGACAGAGCAGAGAACATCAGAGCTCACACCTTTCGGCCAGCTCGCGCTGCTGCGCTCAGAGCCAGAACTGCCCCGTGACAGGGCTGGGGCACAGGGACCCACGACAGCCTCCCCCGGCAGGAGCGAGGGCTCCTGCCCCAGGGCCGGGGGCACACGCTGCTCTTAGCCCTGGCTACCAGGGAGTTCCTGGGCTAGGACAGTGCCCTGCTCCTCCCTCCCTCCCTCGCACAGGGACTGTATCCCTCAGGGGCTCTGAAGCATGCAGCAGCTCCAAACACCTGCCTGAGGGCTCAGAAACAGGAACACAACATCCTTGAACGTAATCGTTGGAGACTTCCCTCATCTTCACTGCAAATTAGTCCAGCTTTCCCTAAGCAGGTCAAGGCTCCAACACTGGAGGTGAAATCCCCTGACCTTCCTCCTGCAGGGGACATCACCAGACAGCAAAACTCCCCCGAATTGTTACAGCAAGTCTCTCCCAACCCCAGACTGTGCTCTGCAAACTCCCACTGCTGCTCAAGTCTTTCTTGCCTCCATTTTGGGAGAGGTTTGAGCAGCCAAAATTACTAGAGCCCTTCCAGGCAAGGCAGTTTGCTCCCTCCCTACGTCGCCTCTCGGGGCACAAACCAGAGTGGAGCCTGAGCAGTGAGCAGGAGAGCTCAGACGCACAGATTTATCGGAGATGGAAAAGGAAAATTCCTTTCCAGCAGCCAGAAGGCACACGGGTTCAAATTTCAGCAGAATAGAGCACTCAGGAGGGCCCGGGGGCTGCATTCCTGAGGAATCCTTGCATCCCCCCAGCTCACTGCGGGACTGAGGAGTGGGGTGTGCACGGTGCCTCTGCAGACCACAAACAGGACCCCAGCAGGAACGGCTCTGTTTTCATATGGGCTCCAGCACAGTTCTCAAGCCCTGGAAACAAGATACCACTCAATACACAGCCCTGATGCTCCTCATCACACGCTAAAATGGAGAACCCACAGCCCTTAAAGTGTGTCTGTCTGTGTGTCTGTCCTGCATCCCCTGCCCCTGCACCCCTCGTTCCCAGCACACCGTGAGACACCTCCAACTCAACTGGCTTAAACAAGGGGACGTTTTCTGACCTGCAAAGATCTGAAGGGTTGAATAAACTGCCAAAGACCACAGAACTGTCCCTCTCTGAGGCTTCTGAGAAGCTGCTGGGCAAACCCTGGTCAGGAATGGCTGAGGGAGATCTGATCCTGCCCGAGGGCTGGGGACAGCGGCTGCACAACCCTTCGGTCCCATCCAACCTACTTCTCAGACTCCCTTGTACAATTTTTGTTGGGTGCCCTGTTGAGAACCTGCTGTTTGGCTGCCCCAGTGCTCCTGAGAACACCAAGGCTTGTGTGGCAGGTATGACTCCACACCAGGTCAGGAACTGGTGCAGCGCTGGTCGAAACTTGTGATGAACCTAACGACTGTGTCAGCCACCTCTCTCTCCTTAAAACCAAAACAAAGATTTCCAAAACACAAGCCTTGCTCTAGAGAGCACCTCAGCAGTCATGAACACTGAACTGAGGCTGTAAATAATGCACTTCTCCACAGTATAAAATCCAAATTAGAACACTCTGTAAACAAAAATCTGCAGGAAAGGGAGCTCTCGGGGTATTCCCTCTTTACACTTCTTCATTAAGCATTCCAGTGCTGGAGGGTGTAAGATTTCACTCGGCTACTGACAATGTTTTAGAAACTCCTTTCAGGCAACTGAACTGCTCAACTGTGATGTTTCCACGGGAGTTATCTGTTGGTGCAAAATTCCCATCTGAATTTTGTGAAAGTCCCTGATACGGATGAGCTTCATGGGCACGCATTTGTGCTCAGAGGGTGGGCACTGCCTGAAACCACCCTAACTCCCAGCAGCTCTGGCTGTGTGTTGCTAAGGTCCTGCAGATCAGGCAAAGGGACAGATCTGCCCCGGATGGCTGGATCCCACAAAACTGCTGGAGGCAGCTGTGGCTCCCAGCAGAGGTCCCAGGACAGAGCACAAACTGTTTGTCATCCCTGGCCTGCAGCTTCGCTAGAATTAGAACTGAAAATCGGTGTCTGGGAAAACACCACCAGGAACCTGATCTGCCTCCTCAACAGCTCAGCCTCAACACGTTGTGTGAGCTGGCATTGAGCCTTCTGTAGCTCAAGAGCAACTAAAAGCAAAAGAAGAGCAAAACAGGCCGGAAAACAGGAAGAGGAGACCAGGGCTGAAGGGTCAGACGACACCACAGACTGAACATCGAAAGAGAGAGACTGATGCAATAAGCAGGACATGGAGGAGGACTTGGGAAGGGAGGCAGCAACGTCACTGCCTTCCCTTCTCCCCACCACCACCACAGGAATTAACTGTCCACTCAAACAACACACACAGCATTCGCGTTTGGTAGGAGAAAAGGCGTCAAAATTCACTCCAGACAGCCCACAGAGGAAATGCATCCATGGTTAAGCAGGGAAAAAAATTCCTTCTCTTTGCATTTATCAGCAACATCAACACATGAAACAAAACCTAAGTATTTAATGGAAGTAACATTACCTGTGGGAAGTCATCCAGCCCAATCAAGCAAACTGACCATCACCGCAAGTCCTACAAGGCTAAGCAAGGAAGAAGCCCCCAGGAAAGTAAGGAAAAGCTTCCCTTTAATTATGTTTCTATAACTGCTTTGAAGAGAGAAACCCACAGTGAATAAATGGTCACGTTCTCCTGTTCCCCAAGCAGCTGCGAGGTGAACAGGTATTATTGCACCTGGGAGCACGCGAGTGCAGCTTGGAGTGACGATGCAGTGAAATGCTGACAGCAAAGTACACACCTTGGCATTGATATATGGGTCAAAGGGGCCGTACTTTTTGAGTTCTTTGATCTCAAGAGCATTCTACAAAAAGGAAGAGGAAAAAGAAAAAATGTGATAATGGAATGGGTGAGATACAGCAACAAAGCAATGGGTGACCCCAAGGGTGGGATGCAGCACACAGCATCTTGTTCCAGTCAGAGCCATGGCCAGCAGAAGCCATTCCAGCTGGGATTGCTGTAGCCTGAGCCCTGGGGTGCAGGGCATGGACAAGGCTCCAAGCACAGGCAGCACAGGCTCCTCAGCTGACCTCTCTCATCTTACAAGGTTCTGACTAAGCAGACATTAATGAAACATTACCTGGAAGGATCACACTAAGCTTTGGATCTTTTCCACAGGTCTCCTCGCTCCCTGCTCTACTCAGGGCAGAATGTTTACACTCAGGACCCTCACTCCACTCTTATCAGATTGATTGTAAAGGGCTAACTGCACTCAACTCTATGTAACTAGACCGAGAGTCTGCAGAGCTGTGCCCGGAGACACGACTAACCACAGACCCAAACTGGGCAACTATCCCCAGAGACATTAAAACACACTCCTCGCTCTTCCTGCCAATTGAGGAGTGGTAGGGAAATGCATTACCACTGGATTTTTCACTCTGTGATGCTTCAGCAGCAGTTAGTCCTGGAGCAGTCTGGTGCATCCAGTTCCCCATCCTGTGCTGAGGAATGGGAACTTCACTGTGGCACTCGGGTCCCCACAAAGTGTGGCTGGAGACAGGACTGGGACTCCCAAACTCAACCCTGGAGGGAGTTTGCCCCTCAGCTTTTGAAAAACTACACACCACGGAGCAAATAAACTGTGACTCCCATTCCCAGCTGCTCATCCTGACTATGACAGAATCTGCCACCTTTAGCCAGGGCCGTCTGACCTACCCAGGAATTACCTTGGGAACAAATGTTCAGGTTTAGCCTCGTGGGGCTCAGGCAGGCAAACCTACTGTGGTTTACTCCTCTCCTCCTGGATAAACGCCCGAGTGGTTTGGGAGTCGATTCACAGAACAGCAGACGTTCCTGCCTTAGGGACAGGACACTCATGGCCCATTGCAGCTTTAAGCACCTGATTTGGGGCTGTCACTGTGAGCACCAGGCTCGGCCAGCCAGGAGTGCCTCAGGGACACTGCTCGGCTGTCCTCACCCAGGAAACCAGCTCCCTCCGACACAGCTCAGACAAGAGAAACGTTTGGGTCTCCCAGCAGCAGCATTTCAGAAGCTCCCTGGGACTGTAAGGCACCTGTGGTGTCCATGGGGCAGTTACATGGAGCCAGCACTGCAGGGAGGACACAGCGGGCACTGTGCCCAGCAGCTGTCTCGTGTCCCTCCTTCCCTCTGCACCCCAGACCAAAACTGTCAGTGTGACAAAGGGAAGAAATCCAACAGGCTGTTTTTCTTGCCTGATTGAGAAAATACTTCTTTCAAATTAAGCTAGGGATTTATCTGGGGGCAAGTGGGGTTAAAATTATCTTAGAACTTACAAATTAGTGAACTGGAGCAAGTGCCAGAGACAAGCCAGGAGCAGCTAAGAGAGCACGGCCAAACAGAGACTGAACAAAGCTGCCTTGATTAGTCCCCAAAGGAGGGAGCCAATGGATCCTCTGCAGAACTAGAAACCTGCTCAGCTATCCAGCAACTGAAAGGAAAACTGTGGGTTAGTCTTAGAAGCCCAGAAGCAGGAGACCACCTCCTAGGAGCCGAGTTGTTCTCGTATTTACATGTCTCTATGTAACACTTAAATCCCTTCCTCATCCTACCACTGACTCGGAACTGAAGGTATCACTTTAGGCAGTGCCCCTCTTTGTCCCACCAGCAAGTAGGACCTCACAACCATGGCTACCGTTTTGGGAATGGCCAGGAGTCAGCTGAGGGAGTCTCTCCGTGCGAGGGGAGCGATTCAACGAGACATCAGAGAAAGCCAGGCAGACCTGCTCGTTCACTTTGGTGTGCGAAGGGCCCTGGTGGATGAGGAGCTTGACTATGTCGGCGTCTCCCTTCCAGGCCGCCAGGTGCAGGGGGTAGCAGCCCTTACAGTCTGCCACGTTGGTGAGCGCGTCGTTCCTCAGCAGAACTTCCACAACGTCCCTGCAGGAGAAGGGAGCGTGAGCCCGGCCCGTCCCGCCGCGGCGGCACCGACCAGCCTGGCACGGGGCAGCAGAGCCCGCAGGGCTGTGAGGCACCAAACCCCCACCCTGCAGCCCAGGACAGGGCTCACCTGTGGCCGTTGAGCGCGGCGTGGTGCAGCGGGGTGTATCCAGTGCTGTCCACGCAGTTCACGTTTGGCCCTCTCCAGATGCTGCAAGACAGAAAGGGCACGGGGAACGCTGAGGCAAGCACCGAACAGAGGGGCAGGAACAGCAGAGCTCTCACACCAAGGTGGCATCCGAACAGCTGTGGCTAGGGGCAGTAACACACACAGAGGACGGGTCGGTGTCACAGCACATGGACTCGACTTGCTCCTCTGCTTTACCAGACTGTCCTGGTTTGCGATTTCAGCCCCCACTGCCAGACATCCTGCAGCCATACATGTGCACACCAAAAAGCATCTTCAGATTAGAGCAAACCACAAGAGACAGCAAACCATCAGCCCACTGCTAATTCACACCCTGCTGAAGAATTCAGAGGGCTCTGGGAAACTCTCTTCCCTCCACGGCTAGAGTCACACAGGGGGTGTGTACGTCAAGGACTGTGGGATACAGAGCCTGCTCTTGGTCACCAGTGTGATTCCACACTGACTTCTCACTGTCCCAAAATCACTCCCATCTGTCAGCTGCTGGCAGTCTGCACCGAAGAGTAGGTGGTCTCCCGGCACTTCTGAGAAAATTCACTTCCGTCCCTTGTTCCCAAGTCAAACACCATGGATTTAAGAACTAACCCTGCAGAGGATTACTCTTCCCCCAACCCCTGCAAGGTGTCCTGTCTACACCAGTGCAGAACAGCATCTGAGAGGCCAGTGCTGCTCCTGAGCTGGCTGTGAGAGGAGGTGGTGTCTGCCACCCCTCACCAGTGCCACCTCCCTCTCCCAGAACAGGCAGAGGAACTCACCAGCATGTTCTTATAAGCAAACTGGAACCCTTTCCTAATGCCCTCTCCAGTACAACCCACCATCCGTGTGTGTGGCCTGTTTCACACTTCGAAGCAGATCTCTCCTGTGCAATCCCCTTCCTCCCCAGCAATCACTACGACCTGTGGGCCAGAGGCTCTCTGAAATAAGTCATCACTGGGGGCTGCTAGCCAGGAACATCTCAATGCCACAGTGAGCAAAAACAGCTGGAAAAGCACCAAACCCACAGGAACCTTGTGCAGACTGAGTGGAGATTCAGAAGGAGACAAAGCACCAGGCTCACTCTGGAGTGTTTCAGTGGGAAATGGAAAGTCTGTCCCCATCCCCTCTGAGCAACTCCTGATCTGCAGAGCATTATAAAAGGCTTTGCAGTCCTGAGATGGACTTGAGCTCTGCCACAGGAGGGGCAGCTGAGGGGAGAGTCTATCCAAGAGGACAGGCAAGTGAGCCACAAAATCCAATTTGCAAAGGATCAGAGGCTTATCCCAAGGCATCCCACACACCACCCCGCGCTCCGGGAGCAAATGGCAAACCCATGCACAGGTGCAGCACACCTCCAGCACCGACATGGTCTGCAGGATGGTGGCCCAAACCAGGCCCAGAGGCCCACGAGACACCGAGACAGCCGTGCCCTGCCCCAGCCAGCTCTGCAGCCCCGAGGCGCCAAGGGGACCGAGCAGCGTGCGGCTCTGGTTTGCTCCTGGCAGTGGGCTCACGCAGTGTGGTTGCCCAAATAATTTATTGCTGGATTTAGAGTGGTAATTAATGGTTAGAACTATTGCCAGAAAGCCTTGTGTGCAGTCTGGAGCAGTTCTAACCCTGCACCTGCACTGCCCTTTCCTGGTCTGCAACCTGCCAGCACGCCCCGTGGTTTTACACACTAACCCGAGCCGTGGGTGGGTGCTGAGCTCCAGCTGCTTCAGGGTGAACACATCCAGACAGCAGCATTTAACAGAGTGTGTCTTTCAGCACAGGTTATGAGCCAAGGAAAGCCACGGGGAGTGGTGCAGTGGCACAAACCGAGTCCCTTGCTGAGGGGCTCAGCCCAGCCAGCCGCAGGGCCAGGGCTGGAGCCCAGGACATCCGTCCCCATCGGAGACAAAACACTTCCATCAACCTCCTCAGGAACCCTCGGGCCAACGCCTGAGAGCCAAATGCAAAGTTCACTCGAGGAGCTCCGCGGAAGGCAAGGCCAGAGCCCAGAAGGGCACTGGGTGCTGCAGAAACCAACCAGGGGCTGAAGATTGCTAAAATAACAATCTGCTGTGTCCTCTCCTCCCCTCTGCCCTTTCATTCCTGCAAATAAAGAAAGCTTTTATCAAAGAAAGGTCAAATCACCCAGAAGATCAGACTGGAAGGATCCAAGAGGACAACTATTTATATTTAGATGCGGGGACTGCAGTGAAGTTCATCACTCTCTCCCTTCCCCTTCCTCTCCAGCTCTGCCCGGAAGGCCATGGAGTTCTCCTGAGGTAACAGAACCTATGACTTCCAGACCTGGATCTCTGAAACGAGAACAGGGTGCCAAGAGAAGCAGAGCACAAAGCCCAGACCTGTGTGTGCAGTGTGACTCTGGGCTGTTTCTGATCAAACAGAATCCCAGACCCCAGCACAGGCAGGAGAATGCTGCCAACACAGGTCCCCGGTAAAGGTCTGGAGCCAATCTGACCACCACTGTTTTCTGATTTCTTTTCTCCCCCAAACCCTCCACATCAGAGGGGGCAGCTGCTTTCCTGTTACGGTCTCTGCCACACGGGTGATAGGATCACCCAGGCTGCACCTCTGCTTTGCTGCACCAGGGCAGCATCTAATGATGCTCCTGATGCATCTACTTAAGGCAATTAAGACTGAATGCTGAGGACACCAGAAAAGCTCTGGAAATTGCAAAATCTGCCCCATCTAAACTACTTCTTGTGCTCAGTTTTCTCTTGCTCCGTGATTCAGCAAGCGCTGTAGCCTTTTAATAAAGCTTCCTGCTTGTGAAAACTGCTGAATGAAGCACATGCTCCAGGTCACAGTAAAACCCAAAGTTCCTTTAAACAAGACCATATTTGTCCTCCTGCTTTTCCATTTCCTTCTTCCTGACTGCAGTAACTTTACTCCTGAAACCACCCGAGGCAGTGGACAGAGTGAGGCCAAGCCTAGAGAACAGCTCAGTGTTTTCAGCTCCAAGAAGAGCCCGGAGCCCGAGGGGGCAGGTGCCAGTGCACCCTGTGGATTTGCACACCCAACTGCAGAGACTAAAAAGCACAGCACTAGACAGGAGACACCAGTGGACACGAGTGGCTTGGCCCAAGGTCACCAGGAAGTTTCAAGCAGCTGAGCACTGGCCCCAGATGTTTGTGGACTTCACTCCATGCCTTGGAGGCAAAGTGTCTGGAGGGAGTCAGGGCTGGAGGCAGATTCCCTCGGGTCCATTGCCCGGAGGCCACCACAGCAGGTCAGTCACACATCTCAGCTATCCACATCCATACAACTGCTGCATTCCAACCCTCCCCTGGTATTTCCTGCTTACAGAGGGGAACACAAACAACCCAAAGGCTTTGGGCAAGGCCTCAGGGCTACAAAGTTGCTTAGTCTTCCTGAAGAGTGAGGAAGGCACTGCTGCACCCACCTGGCCAATGGGAAGGGTCCGGCACTGTGGGACTCCCAGTGGAGCTGGGATCCTGCTCCCTCCTTCCTGAGCCACCAGATGCCAATGGGAAGGGTCCGGCACGGTGGGACTCCCAGTGGAGCTGGGACCCTGCTCCCTCCTTCCTGAGCCACCAGATAATGCGACAGCCTTTCCAAAAACAAAGGGCTGATGCAAGGCTGGAGAAGATTAAAGCAGAGTATTCCTGGGGCAAGGGAGAACGTGGCTGGATCACAAGCAGTGCTGGGTTCCACAGGGCTCTGGGTCAGAACCAGGAATGTCCATCCCATCCCGGGTCAGAACCAGAGACCATCATCCCAAGAGGGCTCTCCGTCCCTCTTGGGAGGTTTTGGGAAAGCCCACGAGAACAGCTGGTCCAATTCCAGCTATTGGAGCAGCTGCAGAGGGAGCCAAAGGCATGAGCTTCTGCACTCCTCAACTTATGTTGAGGGTCCAGATTTTAATCTGCTACAGAGAAGCAAGTAAATTTTCCTCAAAGGATCATCTGCTCAAGTACACAATGCCAAAATGGATGGGGGAAAGCAGGGACCTTAATAAAAGGCAGGACATGGGGAAGTGACCCAGCTGACACTGCACAACACCAGCGAGAGCTGATGGAGAGCCCGAGGTACTCGGCAAAGGCAGAGCCACTGACCAGGGGCTCCAGCAAAACCCCTCAGGCTCAGTCCCACTTGGACTGACACAGTGGCAGTCAGAGCTGTGTCTGACTCCAACTTCACCACCTCATTTCCGAGTGAAGCAACAGTCCTGAACAACAATCACTGACAGCTCCAGCCTTGCTGCCCAACACTCGCAGGCAGTTCAGACAGCGCAAGGTCAACGGTGTGCTGTGAGAACCACCAGTGGAGCCACACCATACAGCTCTGATCTTCTGATGGCCAAATCATCCCTTCTCCTCCTGAACGGAGCAGAGCCGCGCGCTCCTCAGCTGGGGCAGGCGGCCAACAGCAGGAGCAGGAAACCTGCACAGGTGTGCAAAGCTACAGCAACCTGTGAAGGACCAGTTCAGGAACTGAGAGGCAGAAGGTGAGCTCACTGTTTACCTCAGAACTGCCATCTCCCACATTTCCAGGGGAGGCTGTTTCGGGTTGGCGCAGACCTACCACAACCGCACGTTTGCCTCCTGGGCTCGCAGCTCAAATAGAGAGGAACCAGACAGGGTTGGCATCACCGATAGGAACACATCCACCCAAGCTCAAATCCCCCACCAGGAGGAGGGCAGCCCCAGCCTGACGGATGGCTCCTGGCAGTGGAAATGCATTTATGTAAACTTAATGCGTGGTGGGGGTGGCAGTGGGCCCCGTCCCCCCCAGCGGGGACAGACAGGCCGGGTCAGGCGTGCAGGCTGTGCTACATCAGAGAATCCCTCCGAGCAGGAGCAAATAAAGAGCTGCAGGAGAGAACAAATCCAGGTCTGGTTTGAGTGCACATGCTGCCCTTTATTCTTAAAAGCGCTACAGGCACTCTGCAATCTGCTCCCGCTCCGGAGGGTTTCCAGCTGATGACACGCCACGGAGCAGTCACACAGCACAGGCTCTAATGCCAGCCCTGACCGTGGGGCCACAGCCAGGCAAGACTG